AACGGCGCTTATGCGTTAGATGCGGTTGCATCAAGATCATTAAATCGTGACATCAATGCTTCAATCAACATTCGAACACTGTGTAAGTAGTATTACTTACTGTTACGGTGTAATTGCGCTTTTGATGAATTGTTTTCCCATATTTTTATTTACACATACAGTTTATTGCGACACATATGATGTGTCACGGCCTGCAAATTTCACTGAACCGGCACCAAGACAAAACAATCGAACTAAAAGACGAAAATTGGAATTGGATGAAGCAAGAAGACGTGCCACCAAAAATTATCATCGCACCAAACATCGTCGTAACAATCCAAATGCCAGTGGACTACAACCAAAACCGGTAATTAATTTAGAAAAAAAAAAAACACTATTCAATTATTCAAATATATATTCATTTTATTTTTATTATTTTCCACTCCATATAACACAAGACAACATTGGCTGCCTGTTATCTTGGTAAATTTGATAGTTTCACCGAAGACTACCATTGTGACAGTAATAGTGGTGCATCAGTAGTATCATCTTCGGAGAGCGATCACAGTGACAACTACAGCGACTACAACGACGAGTGCGAGTGAACAAAGATGATGTTGGATGATGACAGCAACGAATATCACTTAAGATTAGTTTTAAGAGAAAAATACAAATGATATTACCATTATAGAACTTAGTTCTACGTCGTGTCAGTGGCTGCTGAAAAGTCGAAAGAGACTATTCTTGCAGCATAGGGCGCACACTATTCGGCGTTCCGTTCGCAAGAACTGGAGTGCTTTGAATCAACCAGCTATGCGGAATTTGTCGTTAGTTTGCTCAATGAATACGGCCGGAATAAGTGGTGCAATGACATGTGCACACTCGTATGTTTGTATAACGGCTTCGTTCGCTCCGAATTGGATTTTAAAGTACCGAAGTAGATGCAGTGAAGATCTCTACGTTTATAATAATCAAAGAATAAAATACAGTTGACTTTCAAAATTATAAAAAAAAATTCATTTTCAACTTTTTATAAAAACTTTTGATTAAAAACATATTTTCCATTATTCCATTAACATAAAAAAACAACAATTCACCATTTTTCTTCTCTCATGAAGTATTCCTCCATTTACATTCAAAATAATTTGTTTCCTTTTTACTAAATAAAAAAAATTACATAAAGTGTTTAATAATAAGGTCATAATTACATTATTGTTCTTTGAATGTCTGGATTGTTTGCTGTATTTCTTTTTTGTATTCAGATATTTTAAATATATAACTGTACAATGATTTTCAGGTCTATAGAATATTTTCCATGGATAAGTTGAAAAGAAACTCAAATGTCAAGGAGTGCTGAAATATGGTGACATGATTATGTTTCTCATTTTTACTCTCCCAAAACCAAATAACATGAAAAATTAACTTTTAGTTGGAACAGCCATAATATTAATCTGTCTGATTTAAATTCAATTCAGTTCACGTGAACACCTCGTGTAAATTCACAGTAATCAATTCAGAAGACTTTTAAAATAAAATAACAAAATATGTCGGAGTATTTTTAGTAATCATTACAAACGAGTTTGATACATTTAATTCACAGATTCGAAATTCTATTATCATTAAATTAAACTTTTCAAACAAAACATTCATAAAATAGTGCCATTTAAAAAAAAAATAAACATTACAATACATGGCAACAATTCAATAAATTACGAATTTCAATTAATGTAAGTTAGTGCGAAATCAAAATTGGGTCAATTTATACTTGAAAAAAAGAAAGAAAAATCATATATTCTAAAAACATTGGTAACTGTCTTTAAATTCTGTCATATTTTTTACACTGTCACATTTAAGTTTACCTGCTAAATAATTTCAAGGTACACATGACAACGATGAGGTTCTATAACGGCATTAACTTATTTGTAAAACAATGTGAATCACAGTGGACTATATACACTGCTAATAGTATAAAGCAAACGGAGACTTAACAAGTAGCGAGTAATATCATTCAGTAGACTGTATGTGATGAAGTTATCGCGATATTCATTTTTGAAATACAACCAAATCGTTTTGTTGATTATTTTGTCGGTAATAGAATCACGCTAATGGATTCGCTGTATCTTATCATGCAATTGCGCAACGGTGAAAGTTCAATTTAAACAAGCGCAAGTGAATGTATTTGACGTGATTTTTGAAGCGAACGGAGTAGATTTTTCAATATCTCATCGTGTTTGACATTGACTCAAATAAAATGGAAATTAAATTTATTTTCGATTAACGAAAAACAGCTGACTACAAGAAGCAGCAATGTGTCAGATGATGAAGCTTCCAAATCGAGTAAATGCAATTGATTTTTTATTGATATTGAATGTTTCAATTTGGAACGTGAAGTGTTTTGTTCCTTTTACAAGTACTCTAATCGGTTAATCTAGTTTCGTCATAAATATTAATTATTGATATTTCGCAAAAAACTCTAAAATTTTCGAGTAAACTACAGTGACCGCATACTTGCCCCACACAAAATCCATGTGACCATGTGTATCAACCCTTTGTACGAATTGCACAGTGTGGTCAAGTTTAGTGATCAATCGATTCACATCGGTTGGATTGGTAAATTTATCGATTGGTGAATAATGAAGACTGATTGGTACATTAATTCGGGAGAGGTCAAAGTCGGCAGGAATGTCCGAGCTGTCCATATATTTGCCGAAAAATCCATAATTCACCAACTGACCAAAATGTATAATTTGCATAGTTGATGCGCCACTCGGTACCTTGCAGAGGAACGGAATCATCATACTCTGTTGGAATTTGATGAAAAAGAAACCACGTTATTGGTAGAAAAAAAAAACAAGTGAGAAACATTCTTAGAAGAATTCCAGATTAACTTACCTCATTCCTCTGGTTGTGACTCTGACCGTAAAAATGATCGATGAAAAGACCACACATGTTGGTTATATCAAGCGTACAAAATGTTTTGAATAAGGAATTTAAACCCGTTCTTGGCAGGAATTCCGTATATTTGAACAGCTGGAAATGTGAAAAAGATTCTTATAAGTCGAATTGAATGTTTAGCAAAACCGATTTTGTACACACTTTTAATAGCGGGCTAATTTTACTCAGCGTTTGTAAAATGTATCCCGAATTGTTTAAATAGCCAACGGGTGCCATGAGACTTGCCGCAGCTATATATTGATTATATTCAGGTAGCTCGGCTAGCAAAGCCATCAAAGTGGTAGTGCCCTGTGAGTGACCAACGATACTGGAATTAAAGTATTTAGATGATTAGCTACAATTCAAGGAAGACAAATAAATTATAATCCATCAATAATTTGAGCATTAGGATTTATTTTTTTATTTACAACACTTTCGAATTGCCTGTTTCTTCGCGAACAAAGTCAATAATCGCTGGATAATCGTAGATGGCAATTTCGTACAATGAAAAATTCCAATATTGCGGATTGTTTGTATCCCATTTAACGTGATGCTCTGAATAAAAGGATCCACGTGTATTTGGCATCCAGACATCGTAGCCAACATCAGAGAGTACGTATGCTAAACATGATACAAAAAACGAAATTCAAATTAATCCATGAAATAACTTCATTAAATACTTCGTCTATAACTCACCCAATGCTTGGCTCGGGATGTTTACGGTAAAGTCATCCGATGAAGCTAAAATGCCATGCTGCAATATCACAGCCTTTTTGCGACCCACAACTGCTTTCTTCGAATTGCAACGGAACACTGTTAAAATATAACCATCCTTCGTTGTTATATTGTGCACCTCCGATTTGTATCCATAATATTCTATAAGTTGATCCTGTGTTTATGATATTTTGAAATATTTATTCTGGATATTTTAAAAAAAGTATATCTTTCAATACCGTGCCCTTATTGCAAAGCTCTTTTGTTAAAGGGCTGTGTATAATCGCGACCAACTCAGCGTATGGATGTGCAATTATATGTAGTAGTCTAGAAGCAAAACGATTAATCTTGATCGCGATCTCCGTCCATATGCTCCATTCAAATTGAACACCCAGCGCCACAATGAAGCAGCACACAACAAATTGCTTTGAATTCACAAAAGCCATTTTTTTCACTGCTCAAAAAACTCCAACTCAACTTAGCAACGAATCTGAAAAATAATATGATATATGTTCATTGACTGCTATAATACGTTAACCACTTTAATAATAATCTATGTCAAAGTGCCGCAAACCGTTTATTTCCAAAAAAAAGTTTTGACGATAGATGGTGCGTCAATTATATAAATTCCAGTCTAACCGTTCCATGAGAGAGTAAAGTCAAAAGACGAATGCGTTGTTTTCTTGCATTGCATAAGTATTAATGTTGGCGAAATAAAACGAGCGTCAGTTCATTGTAACCAGTTCAAGTGTATAATATAGCTGAACACCGTTCAATGTAAACAACATACAATAAGTAAACAGACCCATGTGATAACAAGACCGCAGAGCTTCGCTTCGCTCCACTCTGCGTTCCTGAGATTTTATTTACTTATTCTATTTTGTTGTTTCACAACAAACTACTTTTTTGCGCACTACATGAAATGTATTTCATCGAAGTAACTTTGCAGTAATATATTATTAAAAGTCGTCCCTTTTGATAACACTATGGATTAAAAGCATAGTACGAAGGATATATATTTACAACAAAGTAGGTACAGAAAAAAGATTTTCTCGGTTATCTCAATAATGAATTACAAGATCTTGGTTTAATTTCTTTTTTGAAAGACACTGCCTCTGGTTTAAATTGAATAAACAAGGTCGCTTTCTTCGTATACAAATAGATGGGAAAGATTTGACGTAAGACGCCAAGACGCCTCTACGCGTCGTTTTTCTTCGTTTAGTAAGCGATCTTGGAATAAACAATATGAGCATAGAATCGAAAGTCACTTTAATTCTGTTCAAAACTCAGAGAAATACTAAACGAAAAATTTATGTAATTTTTAAACAACATTTGATAATAAAAATTTGATTAGCGTTTCATGATACTATGCACTTATTTGTCGTTACTGCCACTAGTTTGAATTGAATAAAAAATATGAGCATAAAATTCAAATTCACCATAATTTGTTTCAGTAGTCAAAAAGTATTAAGATAACAAAAAAGAGCAGATAAGTAGCTCTACATTTCATGTAGTGCTAAAAAAAACTGTGACTATAGTCATATACTCATATATGAGCCGAGCTGACTATGATTGGTTTTCAGTCGAAGTATTCAGTGCGGAGTCAAACGTCTTTGTGTGTTGAATGAAGTTGGTATAATCTTTGCACACGGGAATACACTATTATATTGCGTACAGAGCATTTAGTTTTAGTAGTGTATGCCCGCGATAATCCAAATACCAAACATCATACATATAAACAACATCCTAGCACACATGTTTTATTTAGTTAATATGAATGACGTCACTATGAACCTTTCACCGAAGTGCGTAATTTTTGCTTTCTTCGAAATATTTTTAACGACTTCCCCAGATAACAGAATCGTAAATACTGACAGTGAAAGTAATATGAAAAAATCACGCCAGAGAACGATGACGGCGGGGAGATTAATTTTGATAGGGAGCATTCAAGGTGAAAAGGGAGCATTCAATTTTTAAAAGTGTTTTAAAATAAACGGAATAAGAAAAAGCACGCCGTTTTTTTTATTCAATTGATAACAGTATTGAGGACAAAAAATCTTTGCTCGTAGTTGAATTTTACATACGAAGCAAATGTGTGTATTGCATGTGTTTGGATTGAAATGCACAAAACAGACCGAACTCACAATGTGCTGTGTATTAATCATATACTGTCATATTTTTTCACGCTGGTGGCGCACCTAGCCCATGGATGGATGTACTATGGGTTAGCTGAACTATGTAACTGAATGTCAAGTTGGTTGTGCATGAATTTTGACAAAACTTCTGCGGCCATCACCTAGTTGCGCCACATATCACATCGTTCCATAGACATTGTGAGTTCGAACAGACGATACAAAACGACAAAGACGAATGAGAAAAAAAAAAACGATTTTTCACCCATAATCTATCGTTAATGAAGGTTTTTAAGGATAAAAATTGCTGAAGAATGCCAAAAGTTCAAAAGAGGATAATTTTAATATAGTTTCCATCTTTATTTATCGCTTTAAAACTAAAAAGAAAATTGGGAAACAATATAAAATGCAATTTCCAAGTTTCTTAAAGATTAAGACGTGTTGTTGCAGGAAAAAAAATTGTTGTTGCATGGCGCATCGCCACCAAACGCGTTTGTCTAATTTAGGCTAATATTTGATTTTATTCTAGGCAAAAATCTCTCATTTTGTTACATAAGGCCGCTTAAATATTAAGGCTTACAATTGGATAAAAAGCGAATTGCTAAAAAAATCATAAAAAAACATTATTTAAAAGTCAATACTTTCAGTTGACGAATAAGTCGGATTAGGTTTCATTGTTGCGGACGTTTTTTTTTTCCTTCGTTCCAACTTCACATATGATTTCAATTGAAAAAAATCATTACAATGATAATAATTCAAAATGCATTCCAATTGAAATCGTTGCAAAGCGAAAGGCTAAATAACTTTTATTTTATACTGTGTGTATGTGTTTTATGGCTTTGGTCATGTTCTTTTCGTTTTTGTTAGGTTTTGTGAGTATTTGTTTTTTCAATTTATTCGTCATTAATATTGTCGCGCTTCTCTCAGTATATAATCAATTCAATGGACACCAGCTATTCGATTTAAACAAGATCAATTTCAATCTTGTATTTAAAGAGAAAAAAACCTCAATTGAATAAAATGGAATGATTGCGCATCTAAAAACAATGGAATCATCATAAAAATGGAATAAAAACTGAATAAGAAATGAAACATGGTTAAAATCCATTAAAAATGTCTAGTCCCTGGCGCTTCTGCGGTTATATTTCATTCGTTTACATATACTAATTGTAGCTATCATTGTATTTTCGAGGAAAGACCCTATTGGAAGCTTATTTGCAATATGAAATATTGATAATAATAATCATAAAAGAAAAATGATCAATTTAATATATATTTACAATCAGTTGGGTTGCTGCCGGAATTTGAACTAAGCTTTAAACTGGAATGACCCTATCTAATATGTTGCATCATCATTTCATTTGTCTTTCATCATTTCATAGATGTTTCCCTAACCAACCATCCGAAAAATTAATAACAAAATAAATCTTTCGAATTTCCATTGGGATGTGTGTTGATAATGACGCGCCGATTATTTACTGGATCCCATTGGATCGAGAAATTCAGTTGCCATCATTTTTCTCTTTGACCTTGGAATTAATTTTACATTCTCTCAAAATATACATCCTTATCTCCGAGTCGAATAAAATGAATAAATTTCTGGGAAAGCGTTGAACTGTGTATTGTATTTAGTGCTGTCTTGAGTTGCGCATCAATGGAACAAGCAACGAAGGTGGTCCAGCTTGGCGCAAGAATGGATGTGTGAGCAATTCAGCGGCAGTTGCACGAACGGCTGGATCCCGGACGAGCATTCGATCGAGGAAACTCTGCAGTCGTTGCGACACTTTGTGAACGTTTTTCAAGTTTGGTGGTTTTGTGTCTCGAATGCGGCGCATCGCTTGAAGTGGTGGCTCATTAAAGAACGGTGGCTCTCCATCGACCATCTCAATGACCATAATGCCGAGCGACCAAATATCCACCTCGGGTCCATATGGTAATCGGCTGATTACTTCTGGACTCATCCAATACGGTGTGCCCACAAGTGACTTACGTTTCGGCAATTCTTGCGACACTTGAGCACAGAAGCCGAAATCGGAGAGTTTAACTCGACCATCAGCCGCCAATAATATTGAATCTGATTTGATGTCACGATGGATCACACCTTGCGAATGAAGATAAGCCAAAGCTTTCAAACATTGCTTGCAAACGGTGGCAATTTGTTCCTCATCCATTCGTGAATGTGTGACGATATCGGTTAGTGCTCCACCCTCTAAATACTCCATAACCACCCAGAGTTCATCGTTGACCAGAAAACTGCTATATGTTTCGACTATGTTCGGATGATGATAGTCGCGCATAATGACAACTTCATTGAAGAGCAACTCACGACGTTGTTGCTTGCGCAAATCCATTTTCTTGACAGCAACCTGGCGACCTGTTTCGAATAGAAAAAAAAACATGTTGGTTAGAATGACATCAATTTGAAAATTATTTCAATGAATTTACCAGTTGATTTGTATGTTGCAATGCATACAGTTCCAGTAGAACCTTCGCCAATTTTCATGAAATTCTCCAGATCTTCACGTGGATCACCGGCTGAAACGACCATCTGAAGTGCAGCGCGAAACTGTTGCGAATAAATTACAAACATTATGTTAATTTTGCATTTAACTTGGCTTGAATTTGAATATGAACCCATACCTGTTCGTGTGTCAATCGTTGCTCTTGTTTCATGTTATTGTTGGAATTGTTGTTGCTGGCGGTGCCATTGTTGTTAGTACTGTTATTTTGGCTATTTACATTGTTGTTGAACACATTTGCATTTTGATTCGGATTTTGATTTTGATTCTGAACATAATTCTGGTTTGCACCAGTACTAGTACCACCGCTTGAGCTTGATGCCCTCGACTGCTGCTGTTGTTGTAATTGTTGTTGCTGTTGCTGTTGCTGAATGGTCATTTGCGGATTCTGCATTTGATGTTGTACTGGTGGGGCTGGCTGTGGCTTATTTGGAACGTATTGAGTGTGTTGATAGTTCATCATTTGATGGCCGTGATGATGATGTGGCACTGGACCTTGTCCCATTTGATTTTGCACCGACTGCGGCAACGGATAATTGGGACGTTGAGCGATATTGTTGGCCTGCATGGCGCCCATCGGTGATGTTTGCTGTGGTCTATTAAGAAGAAAAAAAAGAAAGAGAAATTCGTCATGAAATGCCTATTTCGATTTTCTTCAAACAATAAAATACTTTGTGGGTAGTACATATGTCGAAAGTTACGATTTGTTACAAGCAATCGAATAAACTGTGACCAAGAATTGGAAACTAAGTCCTCCCCGTCGACAAATGAGTTGTGCCAAAACAAATCAAACAATAATGCGAACGCCAAATGGCGTAGCTTCAAATTGAAATCAATAAATGGTGATCGGAAACAAGCGAAAAAGTTTACTGAACCGAAAACTGGTTCCGCGAGATGCTCCAATTAATTTACTTCGTTAATATGACAGAAAAAGAAGAAGACGAAGCAGAAAAAAAAATTGATAGGCTCATTTCACATATTGTGCACAGCGCACAGAAATAAGTCAACCACCTTTTCAATTGAAGTGTTTTGTTATTATCAACAATGATTGTGCCTCATTGAAAAAGCAGCGAGCATGCTCTTTTTCGGAAAGCGAATGAAGAAAAAAAACGACAAGCTAATTCTTTCTACTTTCTTCAGAAATATTCCATTTAATTAAATTGGATTTATGTACTGTAGGTACCAATTGCACGACATTATCTGCATCATGTACAACGCACACACACACATAGCACACAAAAAAACGAAGGAAAACACCGTTTTCATTTCGACCGTCGAATATATACAACAAGCGAATGACATAAAGAACGTTCAATCGGCAACCGTTTGGTGTGTGAGTCATAAAAAGCAGCAACAACACCAACAACACCAACAATTCTTTTGTGAAATTTACTTCTGTGCCGGTCCCTACTTTAATCGAGTAATATAAAGAACGGTAGAAGAATGACGACGGAAAAAAAAAAACAGAATGAGCAAATCACGATTCTGACAGCCCAACCGAAAAATCATCAAGCATATCGTTGTCGTCAGTTGATGCCAATGCAATTATTCTAATTTGAGGAGACGTTCTGCTCTTGGGCCGAACAGTAAAAAAAAAGGTACATGAAATTGAGACAAGCACACACGAAAAAAGCAACAACGAAGACAACAACAACAACGAAATACGTAAAGTACAATGTTAAATTGTATGTGATAATCTGAAAACTTCGTGTTTGCTCAGAAGAACGACAATCAGAAAGTAACACATACACACGTACAAAATAAAAACAGAAGAACATGAATGAGAAATTACGAAAAATATAAATCCCATACAAAATGACAAAAATAAAATAGATAAACGGTTTTTTTCGACGTTGTCATCGTAGCCGGCACAATAAAGATCAACTTTCTGTCGTTATCTCGTATTTATTTTTTGTTTTCATTCTGTTCCTCATTAGCAATCAACAATTTATGTTGAACATTATCTTTGCGCTAAAAATCAAATTCATGCAAAACATCAAAGTTGACCGCTCTGTGATGATCAATATCAAACGGGTACCAAATCATTCATCAGGTGCCATGCGAATTAATTAGATTATCGGCGGATTAAAATAAAACGACCAATCTATCTAGCTCATGCGATGAATTCAAAATAAATAGACACATATCCACTGCGATAATGAGTTTGTTTGTTTGTTTTTTTGCAAATTTTAAATATGTGAGTCTTACCTGTAGGGTGCGGCTGGTGGAAATTCGGTGTGCACTGATATTGGGTTTTGAGTCATACCGTTGCCGTTAAAACCTTTCATATCAGCAGCGTTCATGCCATTGTTGTACTGTTGCTGTTGTTGTTGTTGATTCATTTGCATTGGATGCGGAGGTTTAGTCACATAATTGACTTGTGGCTGCATATTTGCCGATGCATTGTGATATGGTTGCATCTGTGGATTTGTATTCGATTGCATATTTGACATTGGAATTTGTGAGGGTTCTTCGGGCACAGATGGTGGCACATTTGCCGATCGTCGTTGTACACGAGGCGGGCTTGAGCTGCGCAATGAATTTGATCGTGCCACATGTGATGTTTTCGGCAATTGAATGCCGCCATTTGCTGCGGCCACAGCTGTCGCCGTACTGTTGCTGAGTGTTGATTTCATTGAAACAGTATCGTCCATGCTTGCATTTGGCTTGTGAAAATGTGGGCGTACAATTGTTTTCAAATCCAAAATTTCGGTTTGTGTGATTTCCGATGGGTCGACGAGTGGCAGAGGTCGATTCGTTGACTTCAATATCTGATTATTGCCAACGATCGATGCCCATTGCAATGGAAGACCAACATATCTACCTTCACGTTTATCGAAACCCGTGTGAACACGATGTTCAAAATTGCTTGGCATCGATATCTGTGGCTTTTTCTTCTTCTTCGAAAACATTTTGTTGCGCTTGTTTGCCGAGCCGAAGACGAGAGAGAGAGAAAGAGAGAGAGAGAGTGTATGTTTTGCTTTTATCGATTTGCAGCTATCTGAATGGCGTTTCACTTTATTTGTTGCGAACGATTTGTCTGGTTTCGGTTCACACAAACGATCTCATCAATATAGATAGACAGATGTGTGTCGTGTTTATTTCCCTTTCTCAGCGATGATTTTTTACTTCTTCTTCTCTGTGATGCGTAAGTTTCACATACAATTTGTATATTATTGTGAATATAAGCGACTTTATTACAATCTGATACTTTCTCGGGGTGAGAGTCGTACGGCAATTATCGACACATATTTCTTTTTTCACATTCCATCACTTAGTTGTTGTAATGACTCTGTTTTTCTTTTCTTTCATTACTCTTTATGTTGAGTATTTTGTTATTCACTTGTATTGATTGTTTTCAGATCGTTGCTATTTTTTTTCTGTCCTCTGTTCAATGTGAAAAGTAAATTCAAGCATATAACAATATAACGCATGTACCAGCTGGAATTTAGTAGATCAACAGATTAAATGGCGATATCACTTGTTTGTTGTGTAGTTTTTTCTTTGTTTCATGTAATTCGCAAAACATGTAAAATGCACTCGGAACAAAGGAATGTTGAATTAAACTTTTGTTTCACATTGCTTTGGTCTGTTTCACTGTACAGAGATCGGCAAAAAAAAGCACTTTCTGGACCAAATTTTCCCTTGTTTTGGATGGTGTCATGCGAAATAAACGACAACTAAAAAAATGATATAATTTTATATGATACAGTTGTGTTTTGTTTTTTTTCTGTCTGTTTCCGATGTCCAGTCGTAACTTAATCGAAGCAATGCGTAATATACGACGATTCACTGGCAAATGGCAAACATACGAGAGAAGAAACAAAACTACCATTAACAACGAATTGCAAGTATTATACTTGGCTAACGTTTCGATCAAACAGTCCAAAGAGCGACTCACCGAGTATGTGAGTTTCCAATTACATTTTATTTAACTTCGTTTTTTTTTCTGCTCTCCACTTGCGTTTTTATTATTTGTTTGAATTTCTATGGTTTTTTTTTGCTATTCTGTTATTGGTGCATTCACTTACATAGGCTTCAACCATGAAATATTTCCGTACCGTTGTTTTTATATGTATTTCTAGATTAAAGAAAAAAAAACCATTTGAATATATATCGTATTCAGTACGCGATGAAACTAGCGCTTGCTCATTTTGTTCAATTTCATTCAAATTTACAGAAATTCCATCGGAAATAATGTATCGAAACACCGAAAGAAAAAACGGAATTAGCGCACGAACACACCGAAATACGTATTCAGAATACAAAAGAATACGGTTGCTAATAAATAATATGCACGTTCGAAGAATCTTGCTGCTTGACAAACAAACCACATACCAATACGACTCGTCACTATGTGCCTGCTTGCTTGTTTGCTGCTGCTGTCGTCGTTGTTGTCGTCGTCGTCGTCGACGTCGTTGTTGTACTCTCTTTGGTAGAAGCTACCAACCGAATTTATGATCTGTAATTGTCTTCAATTCATTAAACTCTAGCATTTGCATTCATTCACTGCAATCAAATTCGTTGTTTGTTTTTCTGTTTCACTTGAAAGCCAACCAAAATACGGCCTCCGTCGTTGTTTGTCAATTAAAATGCTATGATCAGTTTTTTTTTGTTTCGTTCTCTTCGTTTCGTCGTCGTCGTTTCGCTTTTACTTTGTTTACATTAAAAAATCACATTCAGAACTAAGAAAACGATATTCGTCTCTCTCGCATTTTCGAATAAATAAACAGCCACCGATCCAGTTTCGAATGCGAAATAAACAATCGATCAATACAAATGGAAAAGTGAACCGAAAAAAAAATAGTCGTGGTCTGATCGGATTCAACACAAAAACAAAAGTTGAACGGAAAAAAAATAATAACCACGCAAAAAAAGAGACCTGCGATGCACACACTTCAAATCACCATTTTTAATTTATGTACGTGTACGTCCGACATCGAAAGCGGCGACTACGAACTGAGAATGCAGAGAAAGAACAACGAAATATTGAATTAGACACAACCACTACACACTGTTGCCGTGTGATCACTTTCGGCGTGAGAGAGAGAATGGATACGCGTGTATTTGTGCTCTTGTATGTGTTGAAAATTCGTTGTATCGTTTTTTTTACATTCGTTCAGCGCTTACAGCGGTAACAATGTGTACCTGAGAAGGTATGTAGCGTTTTTATCGTGGTTACTCTCCGTGTCGTTGTCGTCGTCGTTGTGAAATGGTCTCAGCTCTTCTGCTAATAGACAATCTGTCACAAAATACAAAACACACCAAAAACCAACTTCATGCTGGTTCGGTGCATCCAAGTCAAATTGAGATGTCTGTTGGACTTTGAATATGCAATGCCTGTTTTGTTTTTATTACGATTGTTTTTACAACTTTTTTATTCTTTCAAAATAATTACAAATTTTTGTTTTCTTATCGCGTCGGATCAAATAGTTTCCACCAATCGGCAAATTGCTTCACTTTCGGTATTGGATTGTGAATTTTACGGGGTCGTCTCCATAATCTAGCGTCCAAATTCAATATTCCACCGATTATTTCCTGAAACGGAAATAAAATTGCTTATGAGAATGAACCGTTTTTAGATTCCACTTTGAAATTATTCGAGAAACAACTTCAAAACACGTAAAATTTGCTTTTGAACTACGAAAAATATAGAAAAGAATCATTTACCTGAGCAAAATTACTTGGGAACTGATCTTGATCTTCGATTACGTGCGCAAAACCGCTTTCCATACCGAAATTCACCCAAAAGTATGGCAATCCTTTTGGGATTGATCGGCGAACATCGCGATCTTTTAGACTGACCAACTGTTTATTTGTGGCCCATTCGGCTTCTGACTCCTGAATGGCCTTCTTAAAGTAAAACGGTGCCATTTCAAACTCAGCACTGGGCACACAATGGATAACCATGTGCGGTCTTCGATGTAAATAGCGTGCTGTTTCAAAGAATATCACGTCTTGTTTGCGAGAGCTGAACATTCGATTCAATGCAGTCATCAATTCGCGTATCTCTTGCCAAACATCATCTTCCAGTTGCGTTGAGCATGACACATGCGCCAATGGTGCAATGAGACAGTGACCCGTGGTCAAGCCTTCATGCCATGGTAATGACAAATATGCATTCTTCCCTAGGAAAACAATTAGCTGCTTTTCTAATTTAGCCGAATCGAAGCATTTGTCGCATGTATCGAGTGTACGTTCCATCTCTTGATGCTCACGAATGGCACGATCCCGTTCCTTTCTATCCACATCATTTTCGTTGATATTTTTACGCACCTTGTCCGCAAAGATATCCTCCAAATCATCGTTTGGATTCTTGTGTTTACCGGCAATATTTGCAAATTGCATATCTTGATCGGCGGCTGATGTGAATTTCTCCGATTCGAACTGAAAAGAAACGAACAGTCCGCATGAAAAGGAAGAAATCAAAGAGAGGTAAATCAAAACTCACCATTTGTTTAATGTCATATCTATCGTCATCGGCAAAGTACCGTACTCGTTCGCCACCTGCGTGTGTTTCAACCGGTTTTTGTTTTTTTGCCTTGCGTCCGGCTCGACCGCCCCATAAGTCGCTATCATCTTGTGATTTCACCACCGGTCGACTCAAACCTTTACTATTTGTCGTTGATAACACCACAGAATCTTCTTTATCTTTCCTACTTTTGGCTCCAACACCAGCGCGACGCTCGAACGATTTGGCCAATACTTCGTTTTTATGCTCCGTTCGGAATTTTCGCGCTCTATCCAGTTTTTCTTTTAGTTGCTGGGCAAGTTCATCATTGCCCATAATTTCTGCTTTTACCAGTTTCGCTCCCAATTCATTCATTTGCTGATCAGTTAGAAAGTCGTCTCGGCATGCTAATGCGTTGCTGCTTGGTTCACTTGACTTTGGTGCGGGTGAAGGTGATCTGCTTGCTGATGATGACGAACTTGGTGAACTTTTTCTTCGAGACTCCCTTTTCGGTGCACTATACTCTTTGGAAACTGATGTCGACGGTTGGGTTTGTGGTTCAGTTTTCTTTTTCCAATTTGATTGCCGTTCTCTACCAATTGGCTTCGATTGATACGAACGTCTCACGTCTGGTTGATCATCATCTGAGTCATAGTTTGGTTTTGCAAACGCTTTCGGCAAACCATCGCCACCGTCTTTCCAATACGGATTCAATTCACGTACACTCTTACCGGGTTCATAGGCGTCGATACCTTTTCGCTCTTCTTTTTTCGATTCTTTTGGCTCTTTGCTCTTGGTAAATCCACTGAATCCACTGAGCCAATCCTCACGTTGCAATGGTACTTCATCGTTTTTCTTTGGCTCAGCGTCTTTTTTGTTTTTGTCATCATTTTGCTCCTTTTCAACCCACGAGTCCTCTTCACTTTCACTGTCAGATGAACTCGACGAACTGGCGTCGCTAAAATGCTTTCGTTTACGCTTTCTCTTCGAAACTCGTTCCTCATCCTCTGAACTGTCATCCGATTCACTTGACGACGAATAATTTCGTTTTTTGCTCTTCTTTTTCTCTTTTTTGTGTTTTTTTGATGACTTCTTTGATTTTTTCGATTTTTGCGATTTCTTGTCCTTCTTTTTACTGCTGCTAGATTTTTCGCCAGCTTGTTCATCTATTCTCTTTGATACCGACGGCAACATCCATTGATCATCACCACGGAATTTCTTCTGTAGCTCTTTTTCATCTCGACGTTTTGCATTCTCTTCGGCCTGAAATAAAAAACAAACAAAATAAATTGCGTTGTGGGACAATATTGAATTTTGATAGTAGAACACACTATTTTCTGTCACTTACTCGCTTCAATAATTCAGTTCGAACTTCTCTGAGCTCTTGGCGCGCTTTATCCTTCTCCCAACCACTTTCAAATTCGATGAACGACATTGTAATTGTGATACGTTTACTTTCGTTGCATGAATTTAATTTATTCTTGTGCTTTGACGTTGTGTGTAGAAGCCGAAAATGTGACAATTAGTCAAACATAAGTCAAACCATCGGCTACTGTCAGTGCCCCTATTGGAAAAATCAAACATGTGTGTCTCATTTGACAGTTCGTAAAACGGCGCGCAACCATTACCTTGTGAAATACACAACTTTTTGAATACTGCGGCGTAATTGAAATACTGAACGAGACGAATTGAAGTATGTATGGTTTACAAATATAAAATAAACGTAGAAGATACATTCATATTTTTGCTTAAATACTAATAAAGTCATTTCTTCATCATTTGGACAGCGCAAAATATTGAATTTGTTTGAAATCATACATAATTCATTGGGCAAACGATGGATGCGTCAACAGGTGCAAACATTTGTTGCATTTGCCGAAAATCTGATACCGATGATTTGGCTTATGGCAAATGGGAATCAATCCGTGGTTACAAGGCACATCAATTTTGTTTGGTAAGTACTTCGAATTTGACGTTGTTTTAGCTTTTAATTGAATTGAATGAAACCAAAGTCATGGAAATATTTTCGAAACTTACAAATTGTCATATTTACATGATACCGTTAGTCTTTGCCAAAAAGAGTGTCGACATAAATTTCAAATGTTTTTAAGTGTGCAAAAGAGTGAGAACGATGAATAGTATACTCTGTACTCTGTATTGTGTTGTGAATCATGATTCATGATAATAAAATTGCTTTTTTCTTGCTCTTGATTTCGTTTACAGTTGCTCCTGACAAAATCGAGGGGAATTGATGATGTGATCGAAAATGGTGAAATTCAGCTTAAAGAATTTGATACGTCGATTTGCTACGTTTGCAACGAAAAAAATGCCACTGTTTTTTGTTCGGCGAAGAATTGTCAACGTGCATTCCATGTGGTCTGCGGCGAGAAAAAGCATTGTCTGATGAAATACGTCGAACCATACGATGCTTATTGCGATGAACATCATGGTATTTTGGAAATACCACCCGCGTCATGGGAATGCCAAGCCTGCTGGGAATCTTTCGGCCAGCCAGAACACGAAAACAACCGAAGTCCAGTTGATTTTATTCCATCATGCTGCCGCCACGGCTGGTACCATCGCCGCTGTATTCGGAAGCAAGCGCACTTCTCGGGTGACAACATGAAGTGTCCGTCGTGCGGTGCAATGGGCGATGATCGTGCCACTTTTCAACGTTTTGTGCAAACACGCGGTGTTTTTATTCCAAAGCGGTCTGCTTTGTATCCACTTCACCTGGACGAGAAGAAGAAGAATCTCGCCGAAAAAGAACGATCTCTCTAAAGCCAAAGAATCTTTTATGCCCAATAAATTTGTATAAAATAGGGCTCGAAACTTTGTAAAAAGAATAATACTATGACCTATTTTGAATATTCATTTTATTTTTACACATATATTCGCTCTATATATTGCTATGGAAACCGCAATCTAATTGAATTTCATGGAAACATGAAGTTTTCGCTTACACTGAAATGAATTAAAAAATCATATACTTTTCTTATTGAAGCCACTGTTGTTTCGTTTTTCTATTGACTGCAAAGCACTTCACATCGGTAATTAAATAGTGTATGGTGGATAATCATCCAATCATCTGATGATAAAAGTTGGGGCGTATATCATTTGCTTTTGAAATCAAAGATGCAAAAAGGTAAGGTGCAGATTTTGACAAAACCATAACTGAATAAACAAACCGATTGATTATTGACACATACTTACATACCGGACAATATTTCCGCGTGTACACAGCATTGTATCTTAATTGCATGATATTGACACCAAAAACCATTTGAACGTGTTGTCTTTTCTTGTTAGCGCGTGTATTTTTTTTAAATCGATATTCTTTTCAATTTCAAGTGAACTGGACTTTTACCAAAAATTGGAAATGTAAGCGGCAATATTTTCAGAGATCTCATTTTGGATACTGCTATATTTCGAGCTACCAGTAGTTGCTATTTATAGGCAATAGTTGTAGATATTTTGAAATAGCAGCTATCGGACGATTGCACAATTGCACATACAAAGACACAACAACGGAGAAAACACAAGCAAGAGAGATGTAGATGGACATTTTATTATTAAAATAATTATTTTTATTGAATCTTCGAACATTGTTACAACATACAACGACAACAATTTGATATTTTATCATATCAGACGAAACGAAATAATAATTTGTGCCTATCTTATTACTAATAAGTTATTAGGTACATTCAAGTTTACATTGAATAAAATCTTTAACTGACCGGAAATCAATGATTGATTACATTTCATAAGTTATATATTTGAACAACTTTTGATGTACAATCAATATCTAATTAAAATGTTGATAAACAGATACGATGAGTTTCTGCCTTCAAAAATACAATTATAATTATGCTGTAGTAAGTGATTGTCATTAAAGTGCTTGAAATTAGTGTTGTTTCCGAGTGCAATGTGTTACATAAAGGAAGTTGAAACAAAGTGGTGCAAATATTTGGGAATAACAAAAAGATTCAAACATTATGTGTTTTTTTTACTTACAAGGAACCATCAACTATGGTTGCGCGAGTTGAGCGAAACGGCATATGCCATAATGTAGGGCGTCGATAGACTAGCTTCACAGCACTCTCACTTTTTCCCCACACGAACAACTTTTTTTCGCTACATCGATTTGAAAATTTCCAAAGCCAAATTTTAATATTTTGACAACTTCAATTTTGGCCCATACTCGTCCCCTATTGGTTATATCGTTTCAATGTCTTCAGCAAAGATGTAGCCAAGAGTCCAAGTAACAAAATTTATGAACATTCTATACCTCAAAAATTGCATCTGACTAGGCTTATAGGGCAAAATGTCGAAAAAGGGCGATTTTTTTTCATTTTTTCGACCATAACTCGTAAAAAATATCCATTTTTTGTTTTCTTTGTTCGGCATTATTGTAGCCAGCGTCAAACTAAACAACTCTTCTGAACACATTAACCCAAAAAAATCAAATCTAGCTCGCTTTTTTGGCTCAAAGTCACTTGTCGCTACCAAACGATATCATCGAGCATTTTCGGAGTTCTATAACTTCTCAACTACTCGAAATAGAGCAATAGTTTCTGAAGCAACTTTTTAGTACTTCTCATGGGCTTTGCAGACTTAGTACTAAAAGTACTAAAAGAGTACTAAAATGTACTAAAAACTACTAAATCCTCTCAATGGTTCCTAGACACCTGTAGGTGATGCTACGTAGTACTAAATAGTACTAAAATTGACAGAATGGAACTGTTACAGACCCCAATGAACGTTACTCGCTGAAAAATCGGTATTTAGTTCAAGATTGGCCCCGTACATCTCATGGATTTGTCAGCTGTTTGAATTGTAATATTTTTAAAGTTTATCCAAATAATTCAGCGAGTAACGTTCATTGGGGTCTGTAACAGATCCATTCTGTCAATTTTAGTACTATTTAGTACTACGTAGCATCACCTACAGGTGTCTAGGAACCATTGAGAGGATTTAGTAGTTTTTAGTACATTTTAGTACTCTTTTAGTACTTTTAGTACAAAGTCTGCAAAGCCCATGGGAAGTACTAAAAAGTTGCTTCAGAAACTATTGCTCTATTTCGAGTAGTTGAGAAATTATAGAACTCCGAAAATGCTCGAAGATATCGTTTGGTAGCGACAAGTGACTTTGAGCCAAAAAAGCGAGCTAGATTTGATTTTTTTGGGTTAATGTGTTCAGAAGAGTTGTTTAGTTTGACGCTGGCTACAATAATGCCGAACAAAGAAAACAAAAAATGGATATTTTTTACGAGTTACGGTCGAAAAAATGAAAAAAAATCGCCCTTTTTCGACATTTTGCCCTATAAGCCTAGTCAGATGCAATTTTTGAGGTATAGAATGTTCATAAATTTTGTTACTTGGACTCTTGGCTACATCTTTGCTGAAGACATTGAAACGATATAACCAATAGGGGACGAGTATGGGCCAAAATTGAAGTTGTCAAAATATTAAAATTTGGCTATATATGGAAATTTTCAAATCGATGTAGCGAAAAAAAGTTGTTCGGGTGGGGAAAAAGTGAGAGTGCTGTGAAGCTAGTCTATCGACGCCCTACATTATGGCATATGCCGTTTCGCTCAACTCGCGCAACCATAGTTGATGGTTCCTGTTAGTTGAAAGAGTTATAAAGATTATAAAATAAGAATAGGCGCATTGAATAAGCTGAAAAGATCAATCACAAAAATAATTTGTGATTAGTGATTAATCTTCATTCGAATAAATCGATTAGAAAAATAATTAGAAAATCAATTTGATAGATTCACTTCGCAAAATTTTTCCGAATTCAGAGTGATCATACCAAATCCACGATAGTAAATCGATCTCTGCGCATTCTGCATCATGAGGATGATGTACTTCCGCAGCTTGATGAGAAATTCGTGCCAATCGATTTCGTAGAGCCAATCAGCCATGTCTGTAAAACTTTCCGAGAACAGTTTTCCAAAGTAACAGTACAAGAAAAGGATTGAAACGCCTGACAACACACACAATCCGAAAACATACATCTCTAAGTCAATGTGTTTATGTTGCTAGAGGTAAAAATAGTAGATCTTTTAGTGATTGTCTGATGCATAACAAATTAGTTGTTATGAATTGTATAAGATCATTTACTAGATATAATCGAAAAACAGAAGTGGCTAAAAATAGCATGTTGCAAATGAGCTGAATCATAATCAAGGGGTTGAAAACCGGCATTAGCTGCATCAAAAATCTATAAAAAGTACATCAATGCCTGCAATAACTATTTTCATTGTTGAAAAAAATAATCATGGCTCTACTCAATGAGCTTGCGTGAGAATAATGAGTTTCCACATTATTTCGATTTTTGTCCGGTTCGTTGAGTTTATACGCAGAGTGTCGATACATTTTGGAAAACGATTGAAGAATCCAAGTAAGTGAAATTAAGAGCATCAGAACTGCAACATTCAAAAAGTAATAAACTCCAGACAAGATGAAATAAAAAAAATCGGCAATATATTAATGCTTAGATGATAAGGTTTGTGTACAGATGAGAGTGCGCATGTATGAGTGACTGCGAATAGCTAAATTACAGTGTAAGTGAATATGCTACAGTTTTAGTTCTATATTTTTGAGTTGAAATGTTTTTTCAACTTGACCCATTATTTCGAAGAAAATTGTGATTATGTCGATCACACACTTAGGAATCTTCATCCTAGGCAGTTTTTTCGTTCATGGATTCGTTTATTTCGCCGCATACTTTCGCGTTCCTGTCTCTATCCCAAAATCCGACTTGGTTTTAGTTCTATATTTTTGAGTTGAAATGTTTTTTCAACTTGATCCATTGTTTCGAAGAGAATTGTGATTATGTCGATCGTACACTTAGGAATCTTATGTCCATCTCCCTAATTTCTCGATGCGAGTCGATAAATGAGCTGATTCTCTTTCCAAATTGATCTATTATTGGGTCAATTCGAAAGTTTCCGCCGCTGACATTTAAATGTCGCCACTTGTAACTGAGCGTAGCTTGACAAGTGAATCCAATTGCATTTTGTAGATGTGACATTTAGCAATCTAACTCAGAGCAGAAAGATTCATTTTTCGTTCTGCGTCATTGTTTTTGAATCGATTGAAAATGGATCGTGATAAGGTGTTTTTTCGAGGGGCCCTTCTTTTCTTATTTGATTCGAAGAAAACTGCCGCTGAAGCTCATCGAATGCTGTGAGATACTTATGGCGAGCAAGCTCCATCGGAACGAAGCTGCAGAGAATGGTTTCATCGATTCAAAAGTGGTGATTTTGACTTGAAAGACAAAGAACGTTCAGGTCGGCCAGAAGCGATTGAAGATGTCGATTTGCAAGCATTATTGGATGAAGACCCAACCCAAACGCAAAAAGAACTTGCATTGCAGTTAAACGTCGGCCAAACAACCATTTTCAGACATTTGCACGCCATGGGAAAGATTCGGAAGCTGGGAAAATGGGTTCCACATCAACTGTCTGAAGAGCAACTTCAAGCACGAATCGCAATATGCACAAAACATCTTGCAGAGCACAAAAGAAACAGTTTTTTGTATCGGATTGTTACCGGCGATGAAAAGTGGGTTCATTACGAAAACCCCAAGCGTGAAGTAGCGTATGTTGATCCCGGCCAACCGGCGCCATCCCAGCGAAAACGAGATATTCATTGCGATAAGGTTATGCTGTGCATCTGGTGGGATATGAAAGGAGTCGTGTATTATGAGCTGCTAAAACCTGATCAAACGATTAATAAGGAACGCTATCGACGCTAATTGACCAGTTTGGCCCATGCATTGGATGAAAAACGGCCATTTATAGCCCGAAAAAGCCACAAAGTTTTGTTCCACGATGACAACGCTAAGCCACATCGTGCAACAATCGTTAAAAATGAGGTAGAGCAGCTCGGTTGGGATCGGCTTGATCAGCCCGCGTACTCTCCAGACCTTGCTCCTTGCGACTACTATCTATTTCGATCGATGCAGATTGCCCTGTCTGAAGTACGCTTTCAAAATGAGGAAGAAGTGCGAAAATGGGTTGATGACTACATAACCTCAAAAGACGAGGACTTCTTCAAGCGAGGAATCCACAAGCTGCCAGAAAGATGGCGGGAAGTCATAGCTAACGATGGCGAATACATTGGTTAATGTACATTTTCAATTTATTTTGCAATAAATGTATTTTTAGACAAAAAAAACGGCGGAAACTTTCGAATTGACCCAATACATCGAATTCCTAGGGTGCAGTCACACTAAGAAACATGGATTGGAAACATCCCATAAGGTCCAATGTAATTTTGTTACAGGAAACATTTTAGTGGAA